TTGATTCAACATTAGTGACCAGTAGCCTGATGTTTCTGTTCTTCTCTTGGTTTGTTGTACTTTATGTCAGATGGATTTCAAAATGACTTAGTCGCAATCTCTGGTGATGAAACTTGTTAGCTCCGCTGTTGCGTGCATGTCCTTGTTGTAAGGTTAAATTATCACGAGCTTTATTATTTGGGCCCGGTCATTAGCCCCGCCCCCCCGGCCGACGCTGTCTTGTTCCGCCACTGGGTCACATGTTTGCCTGAGGAGCGGAGGCAGCAATATGACGTCTTGTCTGGTGCTTATTATAACAAGGTAAGTTCCATGTTCAAATGATCATGTTTTTGACTATTTTTTGTGGAGGCATTATTTTTCCGTTTACACAAGAGTATCGATTCATATACATAGTTCGCTTAACGTACGTTTATCTGTTTGGATATCACGGTATATACGACTGTTTATTATCTTAACCGAACATTGAAACTGTCAGGAAAATCTGGAGGCCATTTGAGTTAACATTATTTAGCTGCAGAGGTCGTTTTCTTTAGTTTTTGGCTGTAGACTGCAAAATGGGGGAGTGGCTGTGCTGGACCATTGGCTTGATCTATGCCACAGGTGTCAAACTCCAGTCCTGGAGGACCACTGTCCTGCAACATATAGATGGGCCGCTGCTGCACCACACCTGAATACAATAATTAGGTGATTAGCAGGACTCTGGAGAACATATCTCCACAATGAGAAGGCAATTAAGCCATTTGACTCTGGTGTTTTGTACCTGTGGCACATCTAAAAACTGCCTAAATGTTTTTTCTTTGTTAGTGTGTCATGTTGGTGACTGAAGCCTGTTATGATGACTTCAACACATTTCTTCAGACAGATAGGCACGACTTGTAATGCTGTCCAAAATTTTTCTATAAGCTGACTTATTTCTTTAGTAATTATTTCTGACTTTTTTATGCTTTATCTTGTAAACCAGGTGGGCAGAGTAATTTGAGTAAATATGATGGTGACACACACAGGTGAGTCTGATTAGTTTTGTTCACACTTCTTTTTAAAATATTTATTTATTATCCTAATGTTTCTGCTGTATTTCCTGTTTTTCCTTCCAGGCTGGAAGTCTTCTTCCTTCATGTTGGCGAATACAAGAGCAGTAACAAAGACACTTCACCATCAGTGATCACAAGACCCTCCATGGCCGCTTCCACTGAACTTTCAAAGCACACTTCACCTTCAGTGCAAAGTACCATGAATGCATGACCTTTGTATATTGCTGTCAGTGCTGTTTGATGTTTTGAAATAAAAGTAAATTATATACCGCAAATGGTGCTGCTGTTTTTGTAGCATCTAATGTGGCATCTAATGTCTTTTAAAATTAATTTGGGCATTATTGATGGTCAATAGTTTCTGGGGAAAAAAGATTTTAATTGCTCTAGTGGCTTTTATTTGGTTGTAAATTGACAAAAAAAAAGTGAGTAATGAGAGAAGGGGAAGACTGGAAAGTGAACCCACAACAGCTGCATTGAAAACTAGAGCCTTCATATGTGGGTTGTGCTTAACCCCTGCACCACCACAGCACACTCTGCCAATAGTATTTCAAAACTCAGATTTCTATGTTGATGTATACTTTACACCGTTCTGTGTTACATTAACACGTTCATAGTGTTGACTTTTGACAATATACACTAGTTATAGGGTAGATTAACACTGAAGTGTATTTGATTTCAACTACTGTGAGTGTTGATTCAACTCTATCACAAATAACACTTTCAAAAGTGTAACTTCTACACCAACCAGAGTGGACCAATTATAGACACTTTCAAAGTGTTGAATTTAACTCTGTAGGAGTTGATGGAACACTTCCAAATTTGCTGTGCAGGAGTGTTAATTATTAAAACTGAAAATTAACCTTTCATAGATTTCATAGAATGCAGCTACTGTAATGTCTCTTCAGTTTGGTTGCTATACACAGAATATAAAAACAGTCTAGTTGCTAATTTATGGCAACGCTTTCTTTTGGTCTTCAGGTTTCGAGTCTGTTGGTTCTTCAGGAGGAAAAACGACACTTCTTCATCCACTCCATTGATACACAAATCAAGAAACGGACTCTCTCTGCTGTGGTTCAGTACCAAGGGGATCATGACGCAGCCCGCAGCCTCCAGAGTGATTTTTCCCTTCAGGGCAACACAGATAACTTAGAGGCAAGTTTAAAGGAACTAAACTGTCAGTTTACATTCCTACAGCCACCAGTTTCCTCTCCAGCCTTCTGGGAGGCGCAGCAGGTATATAAAACTAAATGACTGACATACTCAGGAGTTTCTCGAGCTGTTTATAATAGCTTGACATTTTCTTTTCACTGTGTAATTTCTTGTGTTGTATTTGTAGCTGTTTATTGGCCAGGACTCCCTTGAAAAAGAGGTTTTTAAACCCAATGCATTTTTATCCTTGTAAAATGAAAGTTAAATAAAAAATGCTAAAATGAAACATGCATTAGCACCTTTTGATATGAAAATTATTATTATACTCCTTAGAATAATGTTCCATGTTTCTAAAGTTTGGTCTGATTGATGCTGATTTTGATTCACAAACTGCTAGCTATTTTTTATTCTGTTATTCTTTACAAAATTGTTTAAAAGCAAAATTCTGTTTTTAATAAAAAATAATTATTTTGTTTTTTTTTGACTTAGACATCAAGAAACGTCTAAGTGATTGTAAATTATTTATGTGTACAAAAGATGTCATTCCTTTCTTGGTGTAACAGTCAGAATGCAGAGATCAGATATTGGCTGAGGACTCATAATTTGTTAATAGTATTTTACTGAGCTGGTATCTGATGTTCACTACCAGCTCAGTACAATGACTGAAAAATTGATTGATAGGTGAGGTGTGGTAGGAAGCAGATGAAGTAATTAGTTGAGATCTAGAACAGCTGTGGCAAAAATAAATGCAGGCAAACTAAAGGAGCAGACCAACTCCCACAAGGGGAGCTGAACTCAGTGTAACTACAAACTACAAAGGGAAAAAGACTAATGCCGATCAAAGACGTCCTAACCCTAACCCTAACCCAAGTGCACAAAAATAAAACAACATAAGAATAGACTAAGAAACTAAATACAAAAAGAATTAACTAATATGGCAAGACCTTTCTGTTAATAATAAGACCTTAATATAATATAAATGAACAATAAGGAGCAACAAGAAAATAGTAAACACACAATCATCAATGAAAGCCAAATCCCAAACATACAAGAATTGTAACAATACTATACAGTTTGGTCTGCAACAGATAAAATATTTGTGTGATTTTTCTGGATGCAACTCATCTACAGGTTCCAGTCCTGCATTTCCCATCATCCAGTGAAGGACTGAGGAGGAAAAAGAGAGAATGGGTTGTTCCTCCCATAAATATTGCAGAGAATTCCAGAGGACCTTTCCCTATGCTTGTTGTACAGGTGAGAGAAGTAAATGTTCATGGCTGACTTATTAGATTCTGATGTGAGACCAGAAAATAACTTACAGGAGAGGAATAAACATCAGAAGCATAAAGGCAGGAAGTATGAGAAGAAAACAAAAGGAAACAGTTGGAACAGTAAGGCTGTGAGGAGTAGATGTATTGAAGATGAATGAGTTTGAGTACCCTAACCTGGGGTCAGTTATCCAAAGCAGAAGGAACTGCAGAAGAGAGGAGAAGAAGGGCATGTAGGGAGCAGAGGGTGGAGGATCAGTATTGGTGCAATTTGTGTAAGAGCAAAACGATGTGTGTACAAAATGGCAGTGAAAACTGGGACATAATTTGGAGATGGTGGCATTAACAAAAGGAAAGTGGAGCTGAAGGTGGAAGAGCTGACTATGAGATTTTTATTTTTAGGGAGCTAAATGTAGAGGACGAGAAATCTCCATCAGCTCAGGCTAGAGACGAGATAGGCTGTAATGGTTTGGACATTTATGGAGGCTATCTTTAAATATTGTAAACATAATTGTGTCTGTGGTTTTAACAGTCTGGGTTTGTTTTGTCCAGATTCGTTCTGATGCTGATAAATCTAAAAAGATCCATTACAGCATCACTGGTCCAGGAGCAGATCAGCCTCCTATAAATCTTTTCACCATAGACAGCACCACTGGTGCTCTGTATATAACACAAGCACTGGACAGAGAGAGAAAAGACAGATATCAGGTAAGCATTCACATCATTTGGCGACCACAAGACAAGAAGCAAAATGGGAGAAACTTCGTCCTCACATGGTTCTTTTATACTGTCAGATTCACACTTAGCATTTACCAAAATTTAAACAATTGAATTAAGAGTTCTTCATCGATGTCTGATGATCTCATTCTGCAAAAAAAAAAAAAAAAAAAAAAAAAAAAAAAATAAACAATCCAAACTTGCTAAAATTCATACTCTTAACAAATGTAAGTTCATGTTGTACTGAATCCTAGGATGTGATATTGGGATGTAGGACTTAACACTCTTTTCCTCTTTTTTACACAATGGAAGAATTTGTATTTTTATTTAAATGAACAAACGGACTAATGTTGGTGTGTTTACAGTTAATGGTACATGCTGCGGCGGACGGTTCAGCCTCTGCTGAGGAGCCTATGGAGATTGTTATAAATGTAATTGATCAGAATGACAACAGACCTATTTTCACCTTCTTGGGAAATGTGGCCGAGTCTTCATCAATAGGTATTGTTGTTCCATGTAACTTCAGTCCCATAAAACATCTAACCTGAGTGACGCAAATAAAGAAACATTCACATCAAATAAACCACCCTCTTTTACACCTCCTATTAAATGTGTAATAGAAATTAAATTATTTTTTTTTTACTTTGTTTAGAATAAAGAGGGCTCATGTGGGTTTTTTAGTGACTGGACTCAGAATCTGAAGATATCAGATGGGATGGGCATTGGAAATAAGAAACAGTCTCTTAGAATATTCTTATTTTGTGCTTCAAATTTTACCAGACATAAAAAGATTAATAATTTTACTAAACGGGCTATAGGTGCATTTTGGTCACAAATCAATAAACAAAAGTTGTCAGTTTTATTATTTGCCCAGCCAACAAAGTTAGATCTTTAACTTCATGTGCAAGACCACCATTGGTTCTCTCTTCCCAGACTAGGCATAAGTCTCTGCTGAAGCAGTCACAGAATCTTGCTGTCTTGTTCATGAGGCGTGGCAGGACAGAGTGGGAGAAGATTAGACAGACTCAGGATTTATCTGCTCTGAAGCAGTCAAATGTCATTTGACAGACTGTAGCTTCTGTCTAATCTGAGAAAAAGCTCAGCTCCTCCAGAATGAGCTGGAGAGAGACGTTGGACAAAGAAACATTTGATGTTTCTTCCTGAATCAGTTACCTCTCTGCCTTTGAATAATGAATGAAAGGTTTTGTGACATCATTAAAAAGAGGGTGGAGTTCTTTCAGTCCCATTAGAAGTTAAAAACTGCAACCATCTTCTGAGAAATGCATTTCATTTCTTTTTATGATTCTTCAGGTTTTGAGGTGATGAAGGTTACGGCTACAGATGCTGATGAGCCAAACAGTGTCAACTCAGATATCCGTTATCGCATTGTGAGCCAGGAACCTCAGCAACCAAGTCCATCCATGTTTGTCATAAACCCAACTACTGGAGCCATCAGAGTCAGTGCTGCTGGACTGGACAGACAGGTGGGCTTTTACAAATGTTTATTTTATCATAAATAGAGAGTCTTAAATAATTTGTGGACATATTGAACAAACATGAACTGTTTACGCCTTTTGTAATTTATTGTGACAAATTGGTTTCTAAAGAAAACATTTGATAGATGTGACAGCATGACATTATTATTAAGCTACTACATGTAACTACATGTAATCGCTGAGAGCTCTCTAATTCGAATTTGATTAAATCGAGTTTGATTTTAACTCGGTTTAAAATCAAACTCGATTTTGAGTTTGATTTATAAATCAAACTCAAAAATTTGTAAAATTTATAAATCGTAAAGATTTATGTTGTAAATCTTTACGATTTTTTTTAAAAGAACTCTTTCCTGTAATTTCATTTGAAATAAATTAATATATGAGCCTGAATATCCTGACAGAAATACCCTGAGTATACCCTGGAGGTAGAAGCAGCAGATATGAGCGGGGAGGGACTTATTGCATTAACAAAAGTAATCATCTCTGTAACTCCTGGCACTGAGCTCCCTGTAAGTACAAACCACAAACTTTCTACAAAATGCATACAGGACATAACATATCAGTGTTTTATTGTTGGCATTATGAGTAGAGAGATAAAGTGATAACCAGATGTCAAAAAGTTGAACAGTTTGAAAACAAAGAGTGGAACATGTCTAAATGACCAAAATGTGGTAAAGCACTAACTAGCATCAATGTTCCCATTTTGCATTTCATTAGGCTGCACAAGGAGGAGGGAGGAGCAGGAGGGATGCAGATCCCAAGATTCATCATTCTTCTTCAGAGGACATGTTCCCAAATCTGTTACCTCTTCCAGTAAGTTCAATTAGAACAGTGGTGTCCAAAGTCGGTCCTCAAGGGCCGGCATCCTGCATGTTTCTCCGTGGTTTAACGCACCTGGATCAAATGATAACTCGTTAAATGGCCTAAGAAGAGCATTGATTTGTTGAGGAGGCTGTTACTACCACCAGGGAGGGATCTAAAACACGCAGGATGCCGGCCCTCGAGGAACGACTTTGGGCACCACTGAATTAAAAGAACTTGTTACTTAGGATTTAATTTCAGATTTTGTTGGTTTTTCTGTGGCTTTGTCATTGGACAAGGTGTTTTACTGACCATTTGTCTTGTTTTCATGTAGATATGTTTGTCTTTCTGAATTTTTACACATTGCAACACCATAATTTTCTTAGCACAATAACAGTCCCATACAACATGTTTGTGGCACTCATTTCTTTTATGTGGTGCTTTTATGACAATTCTGTTCTTTGAATGATTTCAGAAAACAATGAAACCCAGTCTGTAAATTGACCAAACAAGACTGATTATATCATCAACTTGTGGGTTTTCTTCACAGTGTCCCATCAATACAATATCTGAAAGTCAAGATTGAAAGGAATTGGACTGACAGAGGAGATTTTGTAGATTTCAAAAGAATGTTTGACCTAAAAGACACTCCAGCGATGCAAACACTATTTGCATTGCTGGAGAAGAAGTGGAGGTGGTTGAGTAGTATAAATAACCTTTACAACACACTGACATGGAGACACAACAGTGAAGTGTCCACATGAAGGAACAGAGCAGACTGGACTTCTGGAGGAAGTATTTGTCCTTTAGTGTTTGCCGCAAGATGTGGCAGATCTTTAAGTCTGTTTTCTTTAAATGCCATTCTGTTTTCCTCAAAGTCTGAAGAAGGGATGAGGAGAAGGAAGAGAAGCTGGGTTATTCCTCCCCTCAGTGTTGCTGAGAATAGCAGAGGACCATTTCCTCTAAAACTTGCTCAGGTGAGAGGTAGATGGACTGTAAATACTTCTGAACTAAAAGAGCTGTGCAAAGAAACAGTGGTTTAATAGTTCTGATGGTGCTTTGTAGGTCCGCTCTGACAGAAGTAAAGTGACGAAAATCATTTACAGGCTCCGTGGTCCAGGAGCTGATCAGCCACCTGTAGGCCTTTTCATTGTAGACACCGACTCTGGTTGGTTGGAAGTCACACAAGAACTGGACAGAGAGAACCAGGACAAGTACACAGTAAGATATTCTGTACCTTTATACTGCTGTCATGCAACATTTTTTATTTCCCTGCTGTCTACCAGTAGGTCAGTGTATATTTGATGGTCAGTGTTCAACCCTGTCAATTCATCAATAAAACAATTGAGGACATATTAATATGGAGGAACAATTATAAAATTATAAAAAAAAAAAAAAAATAATAATTTACACACAAAATGTCCTAGAATCGAACACCGGCTAGAGGACCACGCCCCCTTTTTAGCTGAGACTTCTCTTCCGAAGGCTTTTTTTTTTTATTGTGCTGCTTTTACTTTTGCCCACTGCATTTGTATTGAATTTTTTGTAATAAATTGTTGTCACCTTCATCCAGCTTGTTTTTAAAGCATTGCTCACTCCTGCGATTACCCTTTTTTTTTCCTAGTTTAACTAGGTGGCGTTGCTGTCTATTTCAACTTTTGTTCACTTATTATTACCACCACTCGGTGGCCCCTAGTAGAGTTATCCAAGGCAGGCAGGTCTTAGGTGAGGGACCAGACGAAGTGAAGTTTGTCTGGTCCCTCACCTAAGACCTGCCTTATAATGAGAACTATCAGTAGAATTAGTGTTCCTTCACCCTGACATGGCTTGCCAGGGCCCCACTCTGGAGCCTGTCCAGGAGGTGGGGCTTATTAGTGAACGCCTGGTGGCTGTTCTTTCACAGATGGAGACAATTGTCTTGCAGGAACACTGCTAAAATATTTTGGACAGAAAGTTGGATAGAAAGCATTAAATGAGGCAGAAAAACCAAACTGGAGCATTTCATTAACTCCCATGTTGAGCAACGTCTCTCATGAGGGGAGGCAGTTTCACACTATTTGAGTAAACAGTGCTCACCAACACGTCTTTCTAAGGAATGGTAAAAATATGTAGCTATCAGTAACTGCTCTAGAGTCTCGAGTTGCATTGTCTGCTGAAGAAGCATCACACTCCAACCCCACTTCCAACTGAAATTTGGGAGTACCTCATCAAAGTTTCACAACAAAAATTGCAGGAAATTTGGAGCTTTCTGTCTATTTTGACAAAAGTTAACAAAAAATACTAACCATACATTTCTTTGCAGAACAGTTTTTATGTGATAATTTCAAACCATCCAACATGAATGTTACTGACAGTCTCCTGGTGAAATGGGCTATGATGTTCTAAACATAATTGTATCTCTGCAGTTAGAAGCACTTGCAGTGGAAGAAGGACAAGCTGAAGCATCGGAGACCATTGAAATAATTGTGAATGTAATCGATCAGAATGACAACAAACCAGTTTTCAGCAGAGACACCTATAAAGGAGAAGTGCCTCAGTCCTCAGCTGAAGGTACATACTGTCAATCTGATATGAGCTTGAAGAACATGTTTATTGAACACTTCTCTGTTAAGCCTGTCACAACAATAAATAATCAATTAATCATATAATAAATTAAAACGAGATCAATAATTTCCTTTTGCATTATTTGCTGGTTTTCTCTTTTCTCTCTCTCTTTCTACCAAAAACTGGATGATAAAAATCTTCTGTCTGGTTCATTGGTCTCAACTAGCCCCCCCTTTTTTTCTGAAAGGAAATCAAAAGGGCTTCATAATTGGCTTTATTTGTTGTTTCCGTTATTTTATTTATGTTGTATATTAAAAATGTCTGAGTTCCAAGGTTATATGTTCATTAGAATTGAAAGTTTATTAATCTTTGAGAATGTGTTCTTTCATTACCATTATATTACTTGAAAATGGTCTCAAAACAACAATATTGTCGTTTATTGCAATAACTTAAAACTTGCTTTGATGACCTAGTCTCTATGCAGGTAAATCAAGAGACTGTTTGCAGTGACCTCAGGCTCTAACACAGAAATGTCTCAGCTCATTCTGGATGCTGGAATTCACAAATAATTTCATAGCTTATTGCTACATGCAGGAAATGACTGCAGCACCATGCCTTTCAGAAACACACCGTCTCATTAAAACACTGTCTGAGAACATTTAAGTGCAAATGTACCAAAGTATTTCAACAAGCTATATTCATATTTATAGACTTCTTGCCAAAAATCCATCCATTCATCCATTATAATACACGCTTATCTCTAGTGGGGTCAGCATGGGTGCTGGTGCCTTTTTCCAGCGGTCAATGGGTGAGAAGCGAGGTACATCCCGGGCATCTTGTCAAAAATGTCACCTTTAAATGAAAATCCAGATTTACATCTAAATATGGAAATCAGGAAGTCCCAATGAGAAACCTTTAAGCACTGGCCTTTGGTGAAGAAAATGTGCAACTATATAATAATCAGAAATTGTGCAAAACATGTAAATGACAAAATAGAAAAAAACAAAAAAAACATTGCTCATTAACCCTCCTTCTGTGATAAGTGCTAATTGTTACAGCACTGCAGGCAGATTTAGACACACATCATGGCTCTGAATGTGACCCTGCAGTCCTCCGCTGGCTGCTCCCTTGCTGTCTTTGTAAGCCTCCAAAACATTACTTGACCTGAAGTACGACATGATACAGTCCACAGTGGCGAAGTTACAATCTCCAAAATCAAAAATTAGTTTCCAAATCTGTATCTCTGTTTGTCATGTCAGCAAATCCTCTTGCAGATCCATTTCACCCGATGCCATATATATGTGCTGACACTGGAAAATTACCCTTCTCTGACAATCTGGACTTCTGTTGCACATCCAAATGAGTTAGACCTGAACTGGGAAAAATATGCCTTTCTGATTCTACCAAGGTTGGCTCAACTACCAAAACTGCTGGTAACATGGCATGGCCAGGCTCAAGTAGCAATTTGGTCATGGCTACAGCTACTCATGAAGCCGGTAAATGGACTGCATCTTCCCCAGCAGTCTGATAGACTGGAATCCATGAAAAGTCTGCCTTCAGCTACAGTCAAGCTTACTGTGTTCCTAGCAATTTGTTAACGCATTCATAACCATGGAAAGCGGGTACAACAGACACAGAAGACTGTGTGTGTTTGCAACATTCAGCTGCAGAACATATTCTGCACTTCATTTCAGATTTTGTATTTTTCTTCCCCATATTTTGTGGTGACCTGGACCTTTAGAGGATTTTGTGTTTCATTTCCTTTTTTGTGACTCTTACCTTCAGGCTTTGAGGTGATGACGGTTCAGGCCACGGATGCTGATGAGGAAAATTCTGACAACTCCGATGTCTGCTATCGCATTATAAGACAAGAACCTGAAGAACCAAATCCTTCCATGTTTGCAATTAATAAGGATACTGGGCTTATTACAGTCAATGCTACAGGCCTGGACAGAGAGGTGAGGTCTAACAAAACAACACAACCACTTTTGTAATGTCATACAATTCTGGTAAGCTACCACTTTCCTTTATAAAAACATGAGTGGTTCACCATGCAGCAAAGTTCAACAAAGTTGGCCCTCTGTTGTGCAGGCTGCCTTAAGGAATCCAAAATCTATCGATCAAAATTAATGATCGATAGATGAATGAATTAATATCAGTCAATTAGATCCATAATATGTTTCTGATGATGTAAAAGGCGCCTCAAGTATTCATACACACATGTTTTCAGATTTTGTCACATCACAACCTCAAACTTGTGTTTTTAATTTGGGTTTTGTGGGACAGTACTAACACAATATAGCGCATAATTGTAAAGTGGAAGTCATATGTCAGATGGTTTTCAAATGTTTTCATAAAAACTCTGACAACTGTGCCACATATTCAGCTGAGTCAATATTTAGTAGACTGTATCACACCAGGTTGAAATTTGATGGCACAGGCTCAAGCCTTTTATAACATGCAACAGGTTTTCTTACAGGATTCTCCTGTGTTTAGCTCCATCTATCTGACCTACTGGTCACCACTCTTCCCACTAAGTGACTTCTTCTATTGATTAATTACACTTCCTTTTGCATTACAACCCTTAGAACCGTAAGTTTTTTTGTTTTTTTGTTGTTGTTTTTTTTTACATTCTGATGCAGTTTAGAAAGAAGCTATTTGTAAGCTGGTTGTAAGAATTGGACAATCCTGCATTGCTGTGCAGTCTGTTAGCTTTTTGTGCCAGTGGAGATTCTAAATAAGTAGTTGCATCTTTCATCACAGAAACACCCGCAGTACACACTCACAGTGGTAGCTGCTGACATGAGAGGCGAGGGGCTGATTGGAAGAGCCAAAGTCATCCTAACTATAACTGATAGTTCTTCTCCTGTGAGTACGACACAGCAAGCACTGGAGAACAGACATAGAACACTGTGGCTATCACTGAAGGCTTTGTGCTCCACAGAGTGGCTGGGTTATTCCTGACATTACAGTTCCTGAGAACGGAATTGGACCCTTTCCTTTACAGCTAGCTCAGGTAACCTCTCTATACCTGTACATTTATTTAATCAAAAATTCAAAAATATTAAAAAAAAACAAAACATGCAAAGGCATGTGTCCATCCTATTGTGATAGGGTGAAAGTGTCCTGCAATAAAGAGCAGAGATGAACACACATTTCTCTGCCTTAGAGATTTTAAACGAGTCTTCTGTAATATATATTTATAATTATAGCCTCCTAACTAGCATTGTTGTTAGTTTATCTGGGTCCCTGTATGATTTGCACCAGATCCGCTTTAATGAGGAGGAAACAAAGAAGATCCTTTACAGCATCAGTGGACCAGGAGCAGATCAGCCTACTGTTGGTCTTTTTACCATGGACCAAAACACTGGTGCTCTGTATGTAACACAGGGACTGGACAGAGAGAACCAGGACAAGTACACAGTAAGATATTCCGTACCTTTATACTGCTGTCATGTAACATTTTTCAATTCCCTGCTGTCTACCAGTAGGTCAGTGTATGTTTGATGGTCAATGTTCAGCCCTGTCAATTCTTCAATAAAACAACTGAGGAGGAACAATTATAATTAT